AAGTTGCTATACCTGTAATCTGCTTATGAGTTATCTATTTAAATATTCTATTCAATATTATCTGTTACAATTTTAAACTAATTTTTACTACAACATCTAATTGCTTAAGCTAGCTAGCTCATTACAGATTCTTAACAAACTAACTTAGATTCTCTTAAAGTATATTATACTCAATATATTGTAAATATCTGCAGAGCCAGTTAATCTTGTAAGTAAATCTACTAGAGTATTTGTATTTATTTTATAGATTCTATCTAAATTAGATTTTTGTTGATATTTATACAAATCTAGTATTTTTTGTAGCCCTTTATTAGTTTAGTTCTTTATATTTTCTAGATATTTTACAAAGTAGATTCTTCTAAATCTTGTTAGCTACTAAGCTAGATTAATATTGCTAGCCTTTTTGCATATTAAACATCTAATAGAAAAATTACAGAAGGACTAAAATTAAGCTTAAAAGAATATTAAAAAGTTTTAGACCTATTAAAAGCAAAAGCATATAATATTTTTCACTATTTATATCAATAAAAATTCAGCTGATAGCATTTGTATATATAAAAAAAAAAAAAAAAAAATTTATTCAAAACTACTATATCAGCTATATTTTTTTGGATTAACTTTTTTGTAAATGTTCAGTTTATATTAAATCTCAATTTTGTTTAACTATCTGTCTCTAGATTAAATCTATTAGATAATGATCTTTTGTATTTCTGATAAGAATCAAAGTAGTGCTTCAGATAAGATATTCTATTTCTCTTTTTATGACTAAATAGTCTTTTGCAATAGTTATATTTAGCTTTTTGTTTCTTCTTTAATAGAGAAAAACTTTTTCAAACTATAGATATATGCTTCAATTTAGTTTCATTAATAGTTTTACTAGTAGTTTTACTAGTAGTTTTACTAGTAGTTTCACTAGTAATTTCACTAGTGATTTCACTAGTAGTTTCATTAGCAGTTTTACTAGCAGTTTCATTAGTAATTTTGCTAGTAGTTTTATTATTGATTTCACGAGTAGTTTTATTGCTATTTTCACTAGTGATTTCTAAGATTGTTTTACTAGTTCTACTGATATTTTTATTAAGAGTTTTACTAGAGATTGCTATTGCTATATCATCTATTGCTATATTATTAATATCATAATTAATATCATAATTATTGAGATCATCATCTGAAAAATCATTTATGACCTTTGTAGTTTTATATAGACTGTAATATTAATACAGTATTATTAGCTTTTAATTTTTTTGTATCCTTATAAAAAAAAAAATTTAAAATCATACTTAGACTTTGCTCAGATTAGTTTTTTGAGAGATAAGTATTTTCATAACAAAAATCTATACAGAATCTTTAGAATTTTCTGAATATTTTCAAATTTTCTAAATATTTTTAAAATATTCAAGAAATTTAAAAATATTCAAAAAATTCTAAAGATTCTGTATAGATTTTTGTTATAAAAATACTCATCTCTCAAAAAAAATAATCTAAGCAAAGTCTTTAAAAAATTTTTTATAGGGTATAATTTATGAAAATAAAAAAGTTGTATCTATAATTAATTTACCTTATACTTGTTAGTAGTTTAGTACATTAGTAGTTTAATATGTTAGTAGTTTAGTGTATTAATAGTTCAGTATGTTAGTAGTTTA